GTTTAGGTGTCTAAAACGACGCTATGATTCTCCTTGCATACGGGACAGTGGCTCATCCCGTTTTTCCAGTACTATGTATGTTTTAGACCAGAGTTCCACCTTCTATTCCTGGAAGCAATTGATGATCAACAGGTGTGTGCGCCCCCGAATCTGGTTGTCAGGCCGAACATAATTCTAGATCCAGTTGAAGCTGTCGAGGAGACCAGGTACGGTTTCTCAGTCTCACGCTATCTGTCAACTGGCGTGGTTTGCTCGTAGGTGCTTTCTTGTAGTACCGAGTATATTGTGGTAGCTGGCGCGGGAAGTGTACTAAAGTAAGCACCGGAGATGTTGATCAACAGAAGAGATGGGTTGTGTATACTTGGGTTATGTGACAACGTGACATTCGGCGGTCACCTTAAAATGTATCTGGTCCTTGTACTCATGGGCTCGCCTTCGGGCCGTCCCCAGGTCCAGTTGCACTGTCGATATGCATGAATTTAGCCTCAATTAATGTCTTCGTCTATCCAGTGGGAAGTCTCGGAATTCCACATAGACATTACAATTTTCGATTCTTAAGTTGATTTGGTTAAATGCGGACACCGAGACGCCATCTTATAATTATTTTGCTGATCCTTATTTAGGGTAACTTGATGCATGTCCTTGAATGTAAATAAAACCCAAGAAAATTTCTAACTGAATTAACTGTGGTAAAAGTACAAATAAAATAACAAACAAAAAATTTTCAAGCGTTATCTTTAGTAATCAAGTGCTTGCTTTTAAAATTTGAACCATTCACCCTGAAATATTTGTATCAATTCATAATCGTCATCGGCTTTTTTAATCACGCTCGCTATTTTAATCTCTCCTTAACCAATCGTCACTCTGGTCGGGAAGTGTTATCGATGCGTTCAGGTGTATGATGACTGAGGTAGATCTGCACGAGTCGGAGGATAGTGATATTGGTGAGGGTGAATACCAAGTGGAAAAGATAGTTAAAGTACGAATTCGTGGCGGGAAAAAGGAGTACCTTCTAAAGTGGAAAGGGTATGCAGACGAGGACAATTCCTGGGAGCCTGAGGAAAATCTTGATTGCCCAGATTTGATCAAGGTTGTATTCTTTTGAACAGTTTGTGGACTTCATATTAGTGATACCATCCATCGTAGGAGTAAAAGTGCTTAAATCTTCAGTGTGTTGTAGCCTTAAGTATTTTACGTAGCATGCATTTTTTAGGATTTTGAGGAACGTATGTTGAGGGAACGCTCCTCTGTTTTAACGCCTGGTCGTCCGTCCTCTAGTTCAGCTAAAGTGACTCCTCGTGCAAAGTTACCGTGCCCTCCGGAAGCTCTGAGGAAACGAGGTCGTCCCGTCCATAGTGACCCTGAAGAATTCGCATCTGATCCAAAAAGGGTTGCAGATGAATCTTCTAATATTGTTCACAAAGTACGTTGGTTTTTTCCAACCAAATTGTTTTCCTCAATTGTGAATAACACAAATTTTGCTTTAGAGTCCATCAAAAACTGCAAGAGGTTTTGCGAGAGGTCTCAAACCGGACCGGATTATTGGTGCTACTGATTCTAGTGGCGAATTAATGTTCCTCATAAAGTGGTCGGTTTTTTTTTTCATTATGAATGCACGATTCTTCTAGGTTTTATTTGAATTTAATGAGATATTGCTTATTTAACGTAGGAAAGACTCAAATGAGGCAGATTTGGTTCCTGCTAGGGAAGCTCATGTTAAATGCCCACAAACGGTTATTCGCTTTTACGAGGAGCGTTTGACCTGGCACACACCAGAACCGCGTACCGAATCTGCTCAACTCACTACCGGTTCAATCTCTGCGACGGTACAAGCACCGGTTCAGACCTTGGAGTCTGCTGCCGTTCCATCGGAGAGTGATCCTCCCGCGGTTACGGGTGAAGAGTCTAATATTGGGCCGGTGGACTCTGGCGCTGTGGTCGCTGTTGCCGAAGCACCAACCCCAGGGTCTGCATCAGAAGCATTGGTTACACAAGCAGAGCTGGCACCTGCAGAGTGACCGAGCTGAACGTCACTATTCCTTCGTCGGCCAATTCGTCTGTTGGCATAATCAAGGTTGCGAAGTGCGATGCCAATTTGTACATTATACTCACCCCGTATATGTGCACGCAATTTTATACTCTTTTCATATTCATCACAACAGAGTTTTGTTCACTTTTACTTCGTGCTCTGAATTTTAAGACGCTGATGTGATGTAACTGTAAAAGTTTGCACTAAGATGTGATTATGATTAGAGCGCCTACTATTCGGGAAGAAACGTGCTAAATGTTGAGCATGAAATTCCATAAACGGATTATTTTCTTGTGTCTGTTTGAACTGCTTCAGGGTGCAATGCCGGGCGGTCCTTCCTAGAGATAGCGTTTACCTGGCTACCTGAATTTGTTATGGGTGGTACTGGTGTATCTGCTGGTAACGAAGATGATTCGGAATAAGCGGAAACTTCTTGTTTACCAGAATTAGTTTCGGTTTGGGGTGCGTTCGATTGGCAGAAGTAATTGTGGATACGCAAGCGTATGAGGGATAAGAAATTGATAGAAATTCGTCTGATGTTGCAAGGACAAATGGGTAAGAATGTGTAGCATTTAAACCTGAGCCTAACTTGAAAGCCAGCTCACACGTACAGGGACCAAACGGATCCTAAAGTGGTCGCCAGATATCAGGTGGTTGCATAAACAAAGCATTGCAATCA